AGAAAGAGAAAAGGCAAAGAAAAACAAACAAAAAGTAAAAAGGGAGGGAGGGAGGGAGGGAGGGGGGCAAAGCAAAAGACATGAACCATCCAACCAAACCAAAAAGGGAGACAAACGGTCTACCAAACAAAAGTTTGTTTGTTTGTTTGTTTCGTTTCTTTTTTAAAACAAGAAGGGGGGTTTCCTCTACGTGCCTTTTCCTAAACTTTTTTTCCCGTTTCCTTCCGAGGCATCACACCAAAGAAGTCAAAAAGGCTTTGAAAGCCATTTTCACCGTTATTCTGCTTCTTCTATTTATGCATGTAACATCGAGCTAAAACTTGTATCGCAGGAAGTAAAACTTGAAGGACATCGTCAGCAGCATGTGAAATACACTCACGACGGCGACAATGCCCATGAACCAAACACGACTCAGCGTTGCCTCCCAGAGACGCCAGAAGTTAATGAGCAAAAAGGCAGTGGACCAAACCCCGCCGACCATCACAATAACCCATTGGAGCGCGGAAACCGGAATTGTACAGAGAATCACCACTGGCAGAAAAATAAACATGCTATACCCGTAGAGGCAAAGCGTGTCCAACAATGAGACGGGTAGCTCCTTATACTTCATCATCCCCCACACAAAACAGCTCAGTCCAAAGCAATAGATGTAAATAACAATACTGGCAATGGATGCCATTGTAAAGTCATACTTCCACTTTTCTTCGCTATCCGATGCCCGATGACTAAACGCAATCCTACTCATAACATTGCTCACAACTCCCAGTGTCATCCACAAGGTTGTGGAGATCCAAAAGGGGCCGTACAAGTCGGGTTTTCCTGACAACTCCACACCTGTCTCTTGCAACTCATATGGCGGGGTCTGCACGGCGTAGTTACGCCACTCACGATCCATCAAAAAGTCTGGGGGCTTGACAGGCACCAAGGCGTTGCTCATTCGCAAAAGCACAAGCCGGGTGTCAACATCAAAAAATTGCTGGTAAAATTCAATGGTCCAAAACTTGGAGACCGATGTCGTTTGCTCATGTCGCTGCTCTTGTTGTTGCTGGTCTGCCGTTTGTGTGTATTGCTCTCTGACGGGCAATGCTGGAGACGGTGGAAGTGGTTGCGCTAGTGAACCTGGAGCGCTGGAGCCGTCGTAGAACTGTTGTTGCGAAGCATACGCCTGACTCGTGTCTGTGTGGCCCAGCGTCTGCCTAGGCTGGTCAGGTTGACCCGCGGAGGTGTACGTTGTTTGTGGCTCGGCGAAAGGAGTGATCATGGTGGTGTGCCCTTCTGCAGATGCCTGCAGCGCGGTGGGGACGTGGGAAAACTCAAATGGTTTCTCCTTGAAGGAATCCTCCCACTTCTCGTATGGGTTCGCCATAAAGCTTGAAGGTGTCAGTAGAACGGCGCTGCAGAGGCGCTTACGGCGAAGTCACGGGGCGGAGGAGGCGTCAGTTTGCTTCCAAAGCATGTGGAAAGGGAGAGGGAGGAGAAACGGGCACGGAAGAGAAAGAACGAATGGGAACTTGCAATGATAGCCAGAACGCAACAAATGAGAGTTGACCCCCCCCCCCAAAAAAAAAAAAAAAGACAACACCATGCTTGCAGCGCATAAATATTCAAGTGTGTCGGGCCACTCAGACACAACCACCACACAACGGCATCGCCATCCGTCTACCTTCACCATCACTTTCCTCGTTACTGCATGCGCATTCGTTCATCCTACCTGTAGTTATTTATATCACTGACGTGTCATCTCCCGCAACATATATATATAAGGGAACAACTCCTTTTTTCTTCTTACTTAAAAAAAAAAAGGAAAACCATATAAACACTCACTCACACACATGGATGTATATGTGCACGCATGCCGTAACGCATATTGCCCACATGTCTCCCTTCGTACGTGTATGGACAAATGTATATGCCGATTGCCAAATGGGCATCAACACCAAAATAAAAAAAAAAAGAAGTCAACGCCATGTTTCCAAACACGGCACAATTGTTGATGTTGTTTTCCGTTTTGTTTGTTCACTTAAAGGACCCACCGCAGGCGTCTCTGTCGGAGCGCAATGGCGATGACCCCCAGCAATGAGACCCCCAGCAGAACACTGGAGAGGATCTGCAACTGACGCCAACGTTCTGTCTCAACCTGTAAAGCGGCCTTCTTTGCTTCTAGTGCCTCGTGAAGCGCCTTCTCGGTCCCCAGCTCCATCCCCGGATTGTTGAACCATTCAAGTTCCTTGATCCCGCAGTTGCGAGAGGATACAGCCACCACAAGCTCTTGCGCCTCTTCATCGGTGAGCTGACAAGAGCACAGGTCCAGCGACTGAAGGTGCCGCATAGATGATACACACTTAATCAACGCCCGTCGCCCGACAGGCCCAACCCGGTAGTTTCCCCCAAGGTCCAGGCGAGCCAGCCGCGTGCTTTGCGTCTTTTCCACCGCCTCGGCAATGGCCACGAGTCCCACATCGCCAAAGCAGTTGACGGAAAGATTCAACGACTGCAGCCGCGAGTTGGAGGGCAGAATAAGATACCTCGCCACGCTCACCGCCCCTGCATCACCAATTTGGTTATCACTGATGTCCAGCGAACGTAAAGACGGATGCCCCATTAAGGCCTCGGCGATCATGGAGGCGCCGCGGTCACCGAGGACATTTAACGCTAGCGACAACTCCCGAATATACCTACTTGAGCAAATGCCGTCGCAGAGAGTCGGTATACCGCGTGGGGTTAGGTGGTTAGAGAGCAAAAAAAGTGTTTCAAGGCGAAGCTCTTGCAGTAAGTATGCCACGTCCAAAAGCGACTGGTCAAGGATGCCATTCTCGCCCAAATCAAGATACTTCAGCTCGCGGCAGTGCTTCATGAGGGCGTTGCAAAGGTACTTCGCGCCTTGGGAGCCTATCTTGTTATCCTTGATATCCAGCTCCCCCAGGCTCTTCATGCCATTAATGTACTTGTCCACAATCTCAACAAGTATCTCTGCGCTGATGTTGTTCCCCGACAAGTCGAGCGAGCGGACGAGTGCGGGATCCGTCACCGCTGACTCAAGCGGTTGGGTGGCAAGATCCCCGTAGGAAAGATGTATTTCCATTATTTCCCCTCCACACGCGAAGTTGAGAGCAACTTCGTCTCCCTTCGTCCCACTCCGTTTGACTGCAGGGAGAAACAAAAAAACAAAAAACACACACACACACGGACGCCGCGGAAAACAAAAAAGGTGGAAAATTCAATGAAAGAAAACGCACAGACAAACAAACAAAAAGGTGCAACCAAATCCGTCAATAAAGAGGAAGGGAAAAGGAATAAAAGGAAAAAGAGGGAGACTGCAATGGCGCGGCCACCGCGGGAGACTCACGCCTCGTTTCGTTATTATTAGCGTTTTACGTTGGTTGCTTTTACGCGCCGTGAGCGCTGTCTGCTGCGGCCGTTGCGCACCACTCCAGTGTGCGATGGGCAATACGCTTCAGCTCCACGCGAAGCAAAATGCTCATTCGCTTGTTGCACGAAAGCGTGCAACAGCCAGCGTCGTTGTCAGCGTGTGCCGCCGCTGCGCTGCCGCTCTTCTTCAGTAGCCGCTCGTCGTCCTCCAATGATGTGCCAAAGAGGTCGAGGATGCACCGGATCGTCTCGGCGATTGTGGCAACAACGCCCGCCTCCGTCGCGGCGCTCAAACTCACAAATGGGCCGTGACGCTCTAACCCGTCAAATTCCCCCGCCTGCGCCAAGTGCACGCGCAGCAGCGCGAGGAGCGCGGGCGGTGGGCGACCGTCGCGGCCAATCCAGCAACGACCCGCAAGGTGCAGGGCGTACTTCGCCACCAGCGCTGCCCGCCGTCCATCCCACTCATCAGCAACGACGCCCTCCGGAAGATCAAAGGGAAACGGCAACCGGTCGTGTTCGTTCTCCTCCATGACAAACCCGTAAAACTGCAAGAGCTCCCAGTTCTGCAGAGGGCCGTAGCTCATCCACAGTTCGCGACCCACGTCCTCAGCTGTGAGACTCGCCCCTATCTGCATCACAAAGTCCCCTCCGTCGGGTTCAACCTTTCGCACCAAAACATTACTGTGGTTGTGGTGGTTAATCATGTCTGCCACAGGCACCAAGGCAAGTACGACGCGTCCATCCACATTTAAATTGAAGGCACGAGAGTCAAACGTCGCGCGGGCCCACATCATCGCCTCAATAGAGAAGCAGTCCAGGAAGTTCTCCTTTCCAAGCCTGCAGCTCCCTGCAAACGCCTCATAGATGAGAGGTAAGACCGTCATTACCGTCGTGTGATACTGCACCAATTGTGCCCTCTTGGCCAGCACGTCATCTAACACATCAAGACCTTCCAGCTCCGCAAGATCATCCCAGTCCCAGAAACTTGGAACGGTGGGGTACTCGCTAGGGCACGATAACAGCAGATCGCTCCAGTGCGACGACGACGCCACATACCGCTCATAGACGAGGCAAAGAACGAGGAGTGGTTCATCGCCAGAGATCATGCCCGACAATTCGGCGGAAGCATGGACCACCCGCCCCAACTCGCAATACTGCACAACTGTATCGATAAAGAACATGTTTTCGCGAGGTACACGCAAAAGATCGCCAAACGCCGGTAGTGGAGCGTTGCACACGAGTGAGCCCTCCACGCCAGGTGCGGCAGGCAGCACAAGGTAAGGAGACGCCACGACCCCCCTCATGACGGGTTGTGAACCGATATGTGGTGTAGCGGTGGCTGGCTTCATTGTGGTGGTCATATGTTCGTCAAGCGCCTCGCGCAGCCGTGAGGCAGCTGCAGTGTCATTCATGCGATCAATGCTCAATCGCAGCACCTTCACCGCCAGTTGTTCGTTCCAAGCGTCAACAGGCCGCTTGAAAGCCTCTGTGAATGAAGGGGAAAGATGCTCCCACACTACACGGTGGTCCGCAGCAATAATGCGGCACATCCACAGAAATCGGGAAAAGTCGCTGCCCTCACTCTGCTCGAGTAGCTGCAGATCCAAAAACGAACGCTTCACAGAGGCGCAGGCGCTGGCATCCAATTCTGCTTCAAGCCATGCTGCCACTTCCAGTTCCAACTTCGCCATCTCTCTCCAGCTCCACAGCAGCAACAGCAAATGCAACAATAACAGCCTCTCTTGGTATTCTTTAGATTTGACATGCAACAGGACGAAGCAGCGAGGGAGTTAGACGCAAACGACACAAGGAGGAGTGGAGGGAAAAAGAGAGGAAAAGAGAGATAAGTGGAGGGAGTTGTTCGTACGTCCCCCCTCCCCCCACCCACCCCACACACATAACAGCAAGAAAAAATTAACAAGAAAAAAAAAAAAATAAAGCTCCTCAGTTATTCCATTGCCCCAGAAACGTGTGTTGCGCAACACACACACACACAGAAAGAGATAGAAGTGCCAATGTAACACACATCCGTTTGAAAATAAAACAAAACAAAAACGTCTTCAGTTGGTGTTCGCCTTCTCCTTGAGGTGGCAATTTGCCAGGCGTTCCAGAACACCGACCACCGCGGAGTTGTCCTTGTCGCCCTCGCCGTTCTGCACCATCGACTGGAACAGCTGCGCGTTAACGGCGGTGCTTGGAAGCGGTGCCCCGAACTCCTTGGCGGTGTCCATCACAATGCCGAGGTCCTTGCTCTGGAGCGCGGCCTTAAAGCCGGGCTCGCGGTTGCCGGCGAAAAGACGCTGGGGTTTCACGTCAAGCGTCCAGCACTGCGCGGCCCCACCCTTGACCGCCTCTATAACTCGCTCAGCATCCACGTCACACTTCTCTGCAAAGACAAGCATTTCGCCCATGGCCACCATCTGCGCCGCCACCATGATCTGGTTAACGGCCTTGCACACCTGACCGGCTCCACTGGCGCCAATGTATGTGATCTGCTTGCCCATCGCCTGCAGCACTGGCATGGCCCTTTGCATCGCCTCTTCGTCACCACCAACCATGATGGTAAGAGTGCCGTTCTTGGCGCCAATGTCGCCGCCAGAGACGGGAGCGTCGAGGCAGCGCACCTTCTTTTCCTTCCACATCCTCTCCGCAATCTCTCGGGCAGTGGACGGCTTGATTGTGCTGTTGTCAATCAAAATAGATCCCGGGCGAACGCCCAAGTAGATGCCAGCCTTGCCGAACACCAGCTCGTATACATCGGGAGAGTCGGAGACGTTCGTGATGACGATGTCCACCTTCGACGCGAGGTCAGCCGGGGAGGCGGCGGCCTGCGCGCCCTGCCGCACCAATTCCTCCATTTTTGAACTGGTGCGGTTAAACACTGTCAGCGGGAACCCGGCCTTGAGAATGTTGGCAGCCATCGACCTCCCCATGAGGCCAAGCCCAATGTAACCAACTTTCAGTGTCATTTTTGTTTCTGATTTTTTATTTTTAGAATTTGTGCTCTCTCTTGTAGCGGTGGCTGTTTTATCCTTTCGCCTTTTGAAATTTTATCTTATCGCGTCTTCCGCGTTTACTGTGCTTGAATGTATTTTTTTTTTTTTACGGGCTCTGATGATCCTGCACCGCAGGGCCCACGAAAAAAAGGGCAGAATCAACGAAAGAAAGAAAGAAAGAGAGAAAGAGAGAAGGGAAGAAAGTGGTGGAATTCACCAAAGAAAAAAAAAAGCAAGACTACACAGCGAATATCTACAGAGCTTGCATATGTAGAAAAATAAGGACACAGAAAACGGGGGCACTTCAAGACGGTGTGACGAGGGCATTCCCTCATGACAGCAAGAAGAACTCTCGCCGCATGTCCTCCTGTAGACCATCGAAGCATGCCACAGGCGGTATTTCGAGTACTTCCTCAATATTCGCCATCTTCACGGATGCCGGTGTCCAGGCTTCATGTTTTGACTGAAACACGTTGTACGCAATCCGGCTGATACGCGGAGAAATGCCAAGTCGAGCACGCACATTCGACATATGCATCGACAACGCCCTCGATGCCTGAAACACAAACACGCGCACCGGTAGCGGTGTCAGGCTCGGACGCGACCGCCTCACCAGGGCGATAAACTGCATACAGTCAGCATGCAACGGGTTTGTGTTATCCACGACAAGACTTTTTCCGGCGTCCCACCACTTTGCGGCCTCTGACAGGCACTTCGCCTTCGTTTTAAGGATGTCGCGGTTGATGTGGATGTAGCCGGCCGGCTGTAAGAAACGGCTAAAAAACGTCGTTTTGCCGCAGCCAGGATATCCCACAAATATCACCATCTCCTGCGCCGTCCGATAAAAAATTGCCGGCGCAGGTACCGCAAAGCTGCACCGTTCACCCTCCGCGTTAATGCGGTTGATTGTGAGATGCTCGTACGACGATGGCAGGTTTCCAAGCTCACTCGGGCCAAGACCGCCCCAGTCCACATCGCACGGTGCATCCGCCACCGCCGTCAAGAGCCGCTTGGAGATAACTTTCCCCGCCCCCTTTAGCGTGCTGTCATCGTCACCGTCGTTGTCAAACAGTTCCGTCTGCGGGCAGCGGTATAACTGCTCTGGCGTGAGAAACGGCACATCAATGTTGAAGGCAAACTTGCGGTCAGAGCAACTGAAGTCCTTCTTTCGTCCCGCCAAAGTGGCGGTCTTCCGTCCAGCGGCGTCTCCAACGTAAACGGCACACCCAACAAGGTCGCTGGCAACAAGCAGCTTCTCCGACACGACGGCGCTCGCATGATCCTGCAGTAGACTCCACATTCCCACGTTGGGCTTTCGCCAGACATCCTCCTTTGTAGCAAGGAAGACTGCCAACGGCATCCCAAGCGCCTCGCTCATATTGATAATCTTCCGCTTGACGCTCTCCGCCTTCTTTTCATTCCACGCCCTTCCTCCAATGCCGGCCTGATTGCTCAGAATGGCAACCATAAAGCCCGCGTCGTACAGCAGCCGCAAGTACTGCGGCACGACAGGCAGCAGCCACCTCCAATCGGTGGGGTCGTCGCGAGGAAACACCGCCCCGCTCTGCGGCACAATGAGTGTGTCGTCCAAGTCAAAGGCGGCCACCTTGAGGCGCAGACCATTCCCAGCAACACCAAACAGCGAGTGCCGCACCAGATCGGCAGACGGCAACAATGCCAAAACGGAGCCGTGAAGCAGCTTCCAGTCACTAAGTAAAGAATTTGGCAAGACGTTGGTTCTCAGCACCTGCGGTGACGGGGTCCTGGCGCGCTTCATCCACCTTGAGCTTCTTCCCCTCTGCGCAAAATAAAAAAGGCTTAAAAAGGACCACCCAGAAGTGCATGCAAGACACCCCCGGCCATTTACACACACCTACACGGACGCTGCTGCTGCTGCTGCTTGTACTGCGTTGCCTGTTTGTCGCTCCCGTGGACAAACTACGAGGACCATCCCCCGCATTCTCTTTTTTTTTAAGTCTCTTTTCTCCCATTTTTTTTTTACTTGTTTGCTTTTGTTTGCGTTTTCATCTTCGGTCTCTTTGCGTTACTCCGTCCTCCCTTACTTATTGCGCTAATGTGACGCACGAAGTTCCTGCTGCAGCAGTTCCATCTTTTTGACCACACCAAAAGTAGCCCTAAACACCTTCTTGCAGTCCTCTGGGCTCATTGCCAGGAACACGGCGACGTCGATCTCCTCCCGCTCTAGCACCGGCGCGAGTGAGGCCATCCCTCGCCCCTCAAAGTGACGCTTCAGCAGCTGCACCCCGGCCGCCCCCTCAACGTCTTTTTTCGCTGCTAACGACGATGATGCTTTTTTAGCCGGTTCCGGCAGGGCATCAGGCGGAAGTGTGGCAGCCGCATGCACGAGTGCGCGTGAGAGTCTTCCCAAGTACGCGGTACTTGCCCACCGCCTGTACTCCGCCAGCACCACATCCGATGTCGTCTTATCCGCCGTGTTTGTGAAAACAACTTCCTTCAATACCTTTTCCTCCATGACGGTGCTCCACCTCTCCATGTCCCGCACGGTGTCAGTGACCAGCCGGTGGCCAAGACGACTTCGTAGCTCCTCCAACTTCTTCACTGTCAGCTGCAGTCGCTCCAGGTAGCCATCGGCGCCACCAGAAACTTCACCGTAGCACGCAGTCAGCACACGCTGTGTCTCCGGAAACTTCTCCAGCGCGGTTGTCACTCGGTGCACCTGCTCACGGAGCCTCCATACCTCCATCAGGGAGGATCCGCCCGACTTCTGGATAGAAAAAAAATCCGGTAACGGCAGGAGTGCATTAGCGTCTGCCTCATGGACGACAAACGGCATCCAATCAAAGTGCACACCGGCAGAGGGAGGCGCAAGCATCGCGCAAAAGGCCGGGTCATACAGAAAAAGCGTGTAGGACTCAAAATGCTTTAGCTTGTTGCGCCGCTCCCGCCGCCACCTCTCACGTGCGCGTGAGAGATCGCCCGTCGCCACGAGGAGCTTGCGACATTCTCCGGAGACTGGAACCACCGCGCCGTCCTCTAGTGGCTGAAGATTTGCCTGTGGCACATCAGCAAATGTAATCAGCTTTGCAGGGAGATGTGCGTCGTTCTCGCACAAGGACTTTCGCACGCCCGAGAAGAAGTCGGTGTCAGAAAGGAACGCCGCCATCAACGAACTACACGCAAACCTCACTTGCGGCAAGCGCGAAAGGATCTCCTTGACGGTGTGCGCGGCGAAAGGATGCGGCTCAGGTAGGATTATTGTCTGGATGCCATCAAACGGGATTGCCATGCCGCTGCGGGTTAGAGCGGGACGCAGCACGGCATCGACGAAGCGTGAGGCCTGCGATGCGTCTTGCGCGAATGGGAGGCCAACGAGGACGCTCTGCGCCTTACGAAAGTCAAGATCATCGCCCTCTGTAGAGGCAAGCACGTAGGCACCATTCGTCAGAGGGGGTTCACCCTCGACCGAAGCGTCCACAAGCAGTGTTGTGTGTCTCGCAGCCTTCTCAAAGTCACACGTCACGTATAAACTCGGTGGGGCATGTCGCAAATACGCAGGAGTGCGACGGACCTCATTGATGAGCTTCGGCAGCGCCGTCTTGTGCGGGCGACTCAGTCGCAGCATACCCCCACACCGCAGGGCGGCAGCGGTGGTGAGGAGCGTGTGGGTGTTATGACTGAGAGAAACCCGCATCGTGCGGCGAACAAACGCAGCGGAATGACATTATATATAAAAAAACAAAAAGAGGGAAAGAGGCACAGGCAGGAGTACACGTGCATGCATCGAGATACTGTCGCCGTGCAGCCCATGCGGTATTTCTCTCACTTTCTCTCTGTGTTTGTGTTTGTGAACAGCGACAAGCGAGGTGTTGCAACAAAAAAAAAAAAGGAGATTAAAAACAAAACAAAAAAAATCGGGCACCGATGAAGGCGCAGTTACGTAATACCGGGCTTCCTCCCTCTTACTGGGATGCTCCTACAGCTCCCCCGCGCTCATGCCTCCTTGCCGCGGGGATTTACACACACACACACACACACACACACACACACGCATACGCACATACCCCACCAGACCTATCACTTCCGCCACGGCTCCTTGGAGGATTTGGCGTAGTAGCCCCCCATTGCACCGAAGAATACGCCAAGAACTGCACCGAACGTCGTGCCACCCTCATTCTTTCCGCCTTCAAAAACAACAAGTGCCCCGCTAACTGCAGCCGCGGAAAGAGTCGCGGCCGCAATCGTTGAGCTCACGGGTGTCACAATGAGGTGGAAGATGCCGAGAATAGTCACGCTTGTGGAGAGCGCGGCGCACGAGCCGACTACGACTTTATCCGTAAACTGGCGCTTCGACAGCTGCACTGGAAAAAAGTGTTGGCTCACCGCGGGAGCAATCCACCTATGGCGCAGCATTTAGAATAGATGCGTGTGTATACACTGTTCCTCTTTGGCCTTCACCATCAACACCACACCCAAATAAGACGAAAGGAAACAAGCAACTATCACGTGGAACACACACATACACACGGAAGGGTAGAAAAAAAGGAAAAGACGATGCAGCGAAGGAAGAGAAATTGACGTCATAACTCCAGCAGAAGTATTCACGTTTTTATTACTAGTCAAGTTTACTTGAAAGTGGTATTTGTTAGCACTAACTGAGACCTGACACACACGCACATCGGTATTACACGTGTTTATGTCCTTCCCATACATGTCACAAGGTACGGCATGAATGTATGCGAATGTATGACGTTCCTCCTGTTTTCTTTTTCCGTTAGAATGCAGCAGAAAGTACCCCCCCCAAAGGATGTGTGGGGGTTAAGTAACAATACTACTCCTATGGGAGCATCCATGTGTGTTTGCTGTTGTTGTTCTTGTTCTTCTTCTCCCCTTTTAAACCCTCGTCTGTTTTTCCCCCTTGCTAAACAAAGTGGATGTCATGCGTCGTAAAGTGGCAAAGGAGTTTTGTGATGCTTTCCTGGTCCAGCACTCGTGCTCGACTGTTAAACACGGGGTCCTGCATCACGGTCTCTAAATGCTCCTTAAATTCGGCAAGACTCTTTCCATCGGTTACCCCCTCCATCTTCTGGTAGCTGCAGTACTTCTCATATAAGGTCTGAACGGCGTTCTTGGTGCGGAAGATGGACGACACCTTCTTGTTCTTCCTATTAAAAATAAACTTGACGAGTCCGTCCCACTCCTCAAAGTCCACATCCGGTGCAGGGTGCTTCGGGTCAAGACGAATCACGCTGGACTCCACCTTAGGCGGGGGGTTAAAACTATTTTTGCTGATCTTCATCAGGTGGCTGCAGCGCGCCAGAAGCTGAGCGTTAACCGAAAGACGACAGTACGCCTCGGAGCCCGGCTGGGCACACACGCGCAGGGCAAACTCCCGCTGAAACATCAGTACGGCGCATTTAAACGTCGGCTTCCTCAGAAGCTTAAAGACGAGGGCGGAGGAAATGGCGTATGGCACATTCGCCACGCACTTGTCAAAGTAGGGAAACTCGTGTTCGAGGCAGTTGCCCCGAATCACCTGCAACTTCGACGCCAACGGGGTGTTTTGAAAGCGCTTGTTGAGCTCCGCCACCATGCGGGGGTCCACCTCGAAGGCAATCACCCGCTTCGAGGCCTGCAGCAGCTTTTCGGTCAGATTCCCTGTGCCAGGGCCAATTTCTAACACCACGTCCGTGGGCTTAATCGCCGCCTTCTCTACGATGGCGGCAATGACGAGGGGATTCTTCAGGATGTGCTGCCCAAAGCCCTTGTTGAACACCATGCCGCTCTGACTGCCGCCCGTCTTGAGCCCCACCATCTCACTCTTCTTCGCCGACTTGTGGGGCGCCGTCTTTCCCAGTGTAGAGACTCGCGTGGCAAACTTCAACTTTTTTGAGGCGGCATGCAGCGGCTCCGCGGTGATGATACCCATGGAAACCGTACGCGACCCCTTCTGCATGCCGGGCGACCTCCTTTTTTTTTTATGTTGCTTTTTGCGTGCCTCAACCAACTCAGAAGAAGAGACGCACAGAACCCCGCCACACACACACACACAGACACATACACACAGAAGAAAAAAAAATTTTTAAAAAAAAACGCAGCAGAAAAGTAAAACACCTTTTACACAACAATAATAATAATAAACCAAAAGCAGAGCATAAGGAAAAAAAGATGAACAAGGGAATATGATATGATGGGGAGCATAAAACCGTTTAGCAACGACCCCGTTGCAGTACGTGTGCCCCAACTGGCCCACTCCCGCAGAGGGTGCGACACAGGAAAATGCACAGATGCGTCTATACGGCAAGTCCACATAAGAGGAAGAGTGACAGCAACAGAGGAAAGGCCCATCGCAGCGAGTCACAAAACAACCCATGCAACGCCGTTGCGACCACGCCGGCAACCCGCATTTTGTTCCCCAGGAACAACAGCAGTAGAGAAAAAACCACCCGCATCGCTTGGAATCGTTGAGTGCGTTATTGGGGAAGCAAACAACGGGGTATCGTAAAACACCACTGAGGCTTTGTCTGGCGCATTTTTGAGGGGTAGCTGAAAGCCTTCTACGGTCACAGCTCCAGCTGTAGACGTGGTGCCGTTATTATTGCTGGTAAAGCTGGACAATGCAACCCTGTTTGGGGTTGACGCAGTGGCTTCTTTGCCGTTTTCTACCGCGGAGTTCCAGCAGCATTCCATAAAAGACAGTGCCTGGGCATTGACGGCAGCTGTGGGCTCTGGGAACACGTAAAACCTCGCACCACTGTTGTCATTGACAAACTGCCGCAAATATGCTATTGCCTCTTGCGCAGAAAGACTCATTGTCCAATACCACGTGCAGCCACTTCTTCCCTCTTTCTTTCTTTCTCTCCTCCTCCTCCTCCTCCTCCAGATTTATATTTCGTCTGTTTGTCTGGCGCCCTTTCGGCTACTTTAGCGGCGATGGCAAAAAAAGGAGAGACGCATTCGCCACCTCCTCCCAAGAGGGCAGGGCCATGTACTCTGGGTCCCCGCGTTATCCTGCATGCCTCTCGGTATCACCCCAACGCACCCCGCAAGTCAAAGCCGGAGCATGCAACACGCATGCAACTGACAGCAATGGTCGTTAGGCGGGGTGGGGAGGAGAGTTGAATCTGAGCACGGGAAAACGTGCAGACACACGCAAAAGACCCATTTTTTTGCAGAACAACCAAACAAAAACGATGGTGCAAGGGCGGGCAGAGCAGCTGTCAACTGCCAAACACAAGAACTGGCACGCTCATTTTTTTGTTTGTTTTTTTTTTAAGGGGGGGGGAGGGAGCAGTGAGAGTAAAAAAAAAAAAAAATCGTGGCGGCAAGAAGGAAGACAACAACTCCGTCTGAAGCATCAGGCGTGATTTCCGGCCGCGGGTGCGACATGTTCCGCCAAAACCTTCCCTTTGACCTCACTCTTTTCGCCACCTCGAATTGGAGTTGGCGCCCGGGCGCCATCCTCGGTTGAGAGACGAGGAGGAGTTACGTTACCGCCACTTTTCTCATGGCACAAAGTTCCGTTAAGGATTTCCGCCGCGGAGAGCGCTGTCCCGCCCGTTGGCTCGTCGGCCAGTGAGGAGGCAGCGTGCTTTGCCTTCGGGGTATTGCACACAACGCACGCCGTCGCTTGTGACCTGTTCACGTACGTACAAGCGTGGCAGGGCCACGCCGCGTGTTTTCGCTGCGGCGATGGAAGGGCCTTAAGAGGCTCCTCCACAGGACTAATCAGGATGATGTCCTCCGGTCGCAAATCAATGAAGGCAACCTTCTTGTTCTCAACCGCAAGAGCCCGCATCAAACTCTTGCCGGTCAATTTCTCCACCAAACCCGCAAGTCTTGCCAGGCTCCGCAGCTGGGGAACGTCGACAAACATCCGCGAATACTCCAACAGCGTCAGACGCGCCAAACGGCGCACCTTTCGCTTCTCTGCACCCTCTACCCGCGTCACAGCGAGTTGAACTAATTTTTCTTGCAGTGCATGGTCAGTCGCCATCGCTGCGTGGAAAGAGAAGCTGCAGGCGTCCACTATTTTCTCAAGCAGCTGAAGGTACGCGTACGCGTGTGGGGAACCCGTTTGCAGGTGGTCGCGTAGGAGGCTCAGCACAACAAGGGGGTGCTCCTCTACCAAAGAGAGAAACTCCGCCGATAGCTTCGCAGGAGTAGCGCTCGCTTCAACAAAAACTTTTGATACATGATACCGCAGCCTAGCCTCGGCAAAGGTTCGCCTAAGGAAATCCATCTTCCGCAACGGCGCGACACCTACCAAGGCAGCAGGCACTCTGCACTCAACTTCACCTCACCACACCAGAGAGAAAAAAAGGGTAAACACAAAAAAAAAAAATGAGGAGGCAGCGGCAAGTGAAATGGACAAGCAGGGACCAACTGTAACAACAAAAAAAAGGCGCACACAAAGTAAAACGGGGCATGTGTGCGTTTTGCATGGGTGGATGAAGTTGGGGGTGCTTCAATGTCAGTTCTGCTACCGGCGTTGCCTCCACCCCTCCCCCTTCGCTACGCCGCAGTTGCATACCACATTTTCGTGCAAATTCGTACGCTGGAAGGTAACTCGCGTACGAAGCGCCGCTGACGCTGAACAGCGGCTGATCCACCTCCGCGTGCACCATCTGCAGCTTGGGGTGTAGGAATTCCGTGTACCTGCGTGTGCAGACGTCGTAGAGCGTCATCAACAAGGCCGCTGGGACGGCGTTAAGCATGGGCCGACTGGTGAAGAAGCCATCAAAGACCTTCGTGATGCCGTGCCGGACCCGCATCTCCAAAATGCATGATCGATACGTGTGTGGTTTGCCCCTCGTAAATTGATTGCGCAGGTGCAGCTGGTGTTTGATGGGCAAAAAGGGATACTGCAAAAGTAGCCCCAGCATGGCACCCAGATGGCAGTAGAGAAACAGCATGCAGGTGTGGTGATACACGCCGTCGTACCGTGTCACCTTGTACACCCCAAACTAAGCGCCAAACTGCAACAGCCGACCAACCGCCGCGGCCGTTACGCCACGGTAAACACCAAGAACTACAGAGGGCTTCTCTCGGAGAGCCGTCTTCACGACATTCCCCACACCAGTGGCCCCACCGGTGTGGCGTACACGGCGGTGCGATACCCGTATGACGTGCTGCGCGCCACACCGGTGGGGCCACCGGCGGCAAACCCTCGCAGAATTCTACTGTCCCACGGCAACAGCTCGCGCAGCCACATAGAAGCTGCCAAGAAGAAAGACATACTCTGACATGCTCCACAATATCGGCGGCCCGGCAAACCAGCGGATGCCGAGCAGTGTGCGGAAGAACTGAGCCCGCTTGTCCAAGGCATAAATGCGGTTGGAGTCCCCCGG